TCCCTGACAATCTCCCAGTTGATGGTTAGGTTCAATTGGTGAGTCAATTGGTCTCGCCCCTAGTTTGTCTGCATCTTCTAGTAGATCTAGTACATATTTTCATTGGGAAATAAAGATGCCCTTGTGAGAGCGAGCAACTTCTGTTCCAAGGAAATAACGTAAGGGGCCTAGATCTTTCACCTCAAATTGAGTGGCTAAGAACTTTTTTAGTCTCTGCATTTCAGCCTCCCTATCTCCTGTGATCACTATGTCATCCACATACACAATTAGAGCTGCAATTTTCCCTCCACCTTTCTTCACAAATAGTGTGTGATTTAACTAGCATTGTTTGAACCCCATCTGTTGAACTACTAAGTGGAACTTACTAAACCAGGCCCGAGGAGATTGTTTCAGCCCATATAAAGATTTTTTTAACTTGCACACTTTCTGTTCACTGCCTTTGTCACAAAAACCTGGAGGTTGGGTCATGTACACTTCCTCTTCTAAGTCACCACTCAAGAAAGCATTTTTGATGTCCAATTGGTGAAGTTCCCAGTCAGAATTCTGATAAAGTTCATCTTGGCTACTAGGGCAAAAGTCTCAACATAGTCCACTCCATATACTTGTGTAAAACCTTTTGCCACCAATCTGGCCTTGTACCTTTCAACAGTTCATCAGCCTTGTGTTTCACTATGAACACCCACTTGCACCCTACTGGTTCCTTCCCTTTAGGAAGATCCACCAACTCCCAAGTGCCAGTTTTGTGTAATGCATCGATTTCTTCCTTCATTGCATCTGTCCATTCATGTTTGGATAAAGCTTTTGCCACATTCTTAGGAACAGGGATACTGTCAACAAAGGAGAGGAATGCACGATATGAAGATGAAATATGATCATAGGACACAAAATGAGAGATAGGATGATTAGTGGTACAAGATCTAACACCCTTTCTCTTAGCAATAGGAACATCAAGATCATTAATGATAGGGAAATCAACATTAAGAGGAGTAGGCATATCAATAGGAGCAAGTGTACCTGGCTGATGGGAAGGATCAACCTCTGGTGAAGCCGATGATGTTGGTTGCATAGTGTCAGGTTCCACATCTCTCGAACTCTGCTAACTTTGTAGCAACAAAGAAAGACACGGAATAGAGGAGGGTCAAGTAGAGCAGGTAGTTGAGTCTGAGCCTGTTTCTCCTCAACCCTACTCTACCCCTGAGGAGAAACCGAGAAGAAAGGTTGATTCTCAAAGGAGGACACGTCGATTGAGACATAGTACTTACAAGAGGCGGGATCATAGCAACGACGCCCCTTTTGAGATAGAGGGTAACCAAGGAAGACACAAGGAATAGCACGAGGATCAAGTTTAACCCGAGTAGGTGACAAGTTATGAACAAAGCAACGACACCCAAAAACACGCATTGGAATGGGGAACAGCAGAGTTGTAGGAAACAAAAGCTGATGTGGGGCCTTATACTCTAGTAATTGAGATGGCATACGGTTGATGATGTACGTAGCACACAAAACAGCATCCATCCAAAAGTGTTTCAGAACATTCATATGGATTAACAAGCCACGAGCCACTTCAAGAAGATGATGATTTTTTTCTTTCAACAACACCGTTTTGTTGGGGTGTCCTAGCACAAGAGCTTCGTTGAAGTGATCCACTCGAAGCAAAGAATTTTGTGAGATCGCTATGGAAGTATTCCTTTGCATTGTCTGACTGGAAAATATGGATTTCAGTTTGGAACTAAGTGAACACCATGCGTTGAAAGTCTTTCACAATTTTAGGCACTTCATCTCTAGATCGCATAGGGTAAACCCARGTGTATCTAGASTAAYCATCRATCAAGGTAATGAAGTACTTATATCCAGCCTCAGTAGGTAGAGTAACAGGGCCCCAAACATCAGAATAAACAATATGCAACGAAAGATCAGATCTTTTTTTTCTCAAAGGAAAATAGCTTCTACGATGTTTACTCAATTGACATGTCCGACACTGCAACTGACTCACTGACAAAGACAACAACTTTGGAAACATAACTTTTAACGGCTCAAAAGAAAGATGACCAAGACGACTGTGCCATAAATAGGCTTGACTCTCACTGGACAAACTCAAGGACTCTGTAGTCACAAGACCAACTTTATTCTTCAACACGTAGAAACCATCCACCATACTTCCTCTACCAATCATCTTCCCCGAGGCCAAATCCTGAAACACACATGAAGACGGATAAAAAGTAACTGAACAGTTCAAGGAGTGAGTAATACTACTAATGGAAAGAAAATTTATAGGTAATTTAGGAACATGTAGTACATTAGAAAGGGTAAGGCCGAGTGGGAGAGATATGGTTCCTTGGCCAGCTATGGTGGAGAAAGAACCATCAGTTAGTCTCACCTTATCTCTCCCAAAGAGAATATTGTATGCCTGAAATAAATTTGACTTACCGGTCATGTGGTTTGAAGCTCCGGAGTCAATTACCCAAGGAGAATCAGTGGTATGAGATGACGCGTGGAAGGCAGTGGCAGTGTTACCTGATGCAGACACAAAGGAGGTAGGAGTAGGACCAGAATCCATCGGGCGAAGAGTCCTACCGTATAACTCCAAATGGTCATGGAAGGAGTTGATGATCTCTTCCTTAGGGTCAGAACTAGGATGCCTTTCCTGAGTTACCATGGGACCAATCTCTTGAGATGCCATATTAGCTGAGTTATACTTTTTCTGATTCTATTGACTTGGTTTCTTGCCCTGATTAGTTGTTGACTTCTTACCCAAATCCTATGCCCATTTAGGTTTTCCATGGAGATCCCAACATGTATCTCTGGTGTTTCTTGTCTTCTAGCAGTGAGTGCACCAAAGCTTATTCTTATCATCTATTCTCTTCTGAAAGTCACCCTTCTTAAAACCACCTCCGACATTAGTATTTGAACTTCCCCGGACAGCTAGAGCAATTGGCTCCCCCTCTGTACAATTCATCACATTTCTTCTACTCTCTTCTGCCTGAACCAAGGCATAAACCTCCTGAACTAATGGCAAGTCTTTACTTCCCAAGATCTGCACCCTGATGGACTCGTATGAAGGATTCAGCCCCAAGAGGAAGGCAAATACCCATCGCTGAGATACAAGTGATTTGTATGCCTTTGCATCTTCATCACACTTCCAGTTAACTATATCTTGGCATAGTGTCTCTGCTTTGAATAGGTGGACTTCGCTTGTTCCCATATTTCACAAGCAGTTTCAGCCCACATAAAAGTTTTTCTTACCTATGGCAGCATGGAATCCAAGAGCCATGACATCACCATACTATCTTCTTGGTTCCATCTATTATATTCAGCACTTCCGCTCTTCGGTTCCTTCAATTTCCCATTGATGTATCCTATTTTTCCCCTAGCAGTGATGTAGAGGTTTATTCCCTTAGACCATTCAAGGTAACTCAGACCATCAAAGGGAATAACAGCCATGAGGAAACTCATATCCATTTTCCCACTCACTCCATTTTGACTTTCAGAAATCCCTGAAGTAGCAGAATTCTCAAACGACATGGTCAACACAGAATTTTTTTTTTTTATCTAAAACCTCAACTTAGGATCCCTCCTTATATCAGAACAAAAGGCTCCACACACAACAAGTGATCAGTCTACACACACTTCAGTTTTTTGGACTTAATCTGTGCACAAGACCAGCACCAATTTCCAAAAAAAATTAATATGACAGATCTGATTTTCAGACCTGTACGGAATAACAGTCCCAGCCTACTAGTTTTCCAGAAGGTCTACAAGCATTAATCACAAGGGGAGATCCTTACACACAAGACATCAAGCCAACAAGTAGAGAAAACAGGTCATATGTGACCTACAGCCACCTTTCACAGGTACAGGATCACACGATCCAAAACAAACAGAGGTAAAAAACCTCACAAGGGTCTGCCGACATTAAGTGGTTCAGATCCTTTTGTTTTCCTCTTGGTACACGACCAAGGGAAGAAAGAAACACAGGAAAAAAGGGGTGGTACCAGTTGCATATCTGATTTGATCAGCCCAGATTTACTCCTCTGTTCCGCCCAGATTCAGCAGCTTGGAGAAGACACTTGATCGCCCAGATTCAATGGCCACGTTCTGATGCCATCTCAAAGAACCATTCAACCTAAAAGCTTAAGCTCTTAAGTGAGGTCCTTGAATAGGTTTTATTCTCTAACATGCCCCCTCACACGAAAGCCCATTGGGCTTGAAGCGTGAACAAGCACAGGCCCACCCATACCTTGTGCTGAAACTTAATTAGTTATAATGGGGGTGATGAGAATCGAACACTAGACCACTTGGTCAAAGTGAACCTGATACCATCTTGACAGTAAATCCGATTGAAGATTACAGCAGAAGAGGAGATAAGAGAAGAGAAGAAGGAAGAAAGGAGAAGGTTTAGAGGCAATGGAACAGTGCTGGTGGCGCCAGCTTCATTGCAATATATAGGGCGAAAAAATAAGAAGGGAAATGACCCTTGTGCCCCTACTAAGTAAAGTTACAATAACAGATTAAAATAAAAAAAAAAACTTTAATCAGCCAAACAGACCCTAACAAAATAAAATCAATTATTTCAACAAGAACAATTTCAAATCTGCCCTTAGAGGGGCGGCCAGCTTATAATCATACTTAAAATAAAACATGAACAGTTAATAGGCCCATTAACAGACATAACAATTAAAAAACAAAATATAGCATAATGATGCACTAGGGCCCATTCAGCACAGTATCCCTACAAAAATATCAAGCGTATTAAAATTGACCAATTCCAAAACAGAAACACAACAGGGCCAACTTCATTTTTTACTTATATAGATGAAAAAATTTCACAAACCCTGTGCTTGAATAAGACTTTTGTTAAGTTAGTTGACTTGATTAGACAAATGAATCCACAAACTACATGAAAAATTAAGTTTTATAATTAAATGGTAAATAAGACAAAACATGAAAATCTAAATAGGAATGCATCACAGCAGCCCCATACAGAGAAATGAAGCATTTACCTTGCTGGATAACCAAGAGGAAGCTTAGGTGATATGAACACTAAAGCTGCTAAAACTGTGGCTTGTCCATGCAATGAATCAAGTTCAACTTTAAAATTCCCTCCCTAAAAGAAAATATAAGACCATTTTTAATTATCTTGACTAGTCACCAGGAGTATCATTGTACATTTCCACATATCAAAACCAATGAAATCAGTAAATTTAAACACACCTCCACCGTGATAACTATAATGGTTGATAAGAAAAAAGCCAAGGAAAATTATGCCATGTATTTCGCTAAATTCAAACCAATCATGTTAATATCCATAGAAGGATAATAAATATGATGTTCAGTCTGACAAATGAAACATTCCAAAAAAACATGGCATGCAAATTAGGCAACAAAACCTTTTCATAATAATTAAGTTTTATAGACAAATGGCCCCTTACGTCTAAGGTTCACTATCGCATATTTGTGTTCTCAGAGATACGTAAATGAAAGAACCATCAAAGGATACAGGCTAACATGAATACCCATAAATTATTTTCTTCTGCTTTTCAAAAAATAGATTATTTTCTTCCACTTTCAGTGAATAACAATGGAAATGACAACTAACTAAGCAGCAGCTTTATAATTAGCCAAAATAGACAAGAAAGCAAAATCCATAGCATTTGTTTTCCAAGACCTATTTAATTTTTTTCCCTCAAAAGTATTTCACAGGAATTTGAGATGCTCATTGCTCATTGCTCATTGCTAAATCAAAAAAAGGTATCTGTTTTAGATCTTCTGAAGGAGACAAGATATCCAAGGTCAATTCCAACTAGACACCTACTGAGCAGGATCATCATTTAGGGGATCAAGATGGACAGCCATTGGTTGATGCAGAGAGATATTATCTATTATCTGCCCAATCTTTCATTGCATACACAGTGAGTATTAATAGCCAATGATATTATCTATTTATTTGATGAGTAATTATTAAGATTTATTTGTTAGATTATAAAAAATGGATATACACAAGTATCTCAACAGCCCACCAAGAGAATGGCCTATGGCCACCTCTCCCACATTCAGTTTACATTACATTTTCCCAAAATGTTTTCTGCCTGTGAACACCTGTTTGACCATGGAACCAGTCAATCTATTTGCCAATCTATGGGCCAAGACAAACCTTCTTCCAGCTGCCTTGCAAATGAATAAATCACTATCATAAGAATTCTACCGTGACATGTTCCTTGCTCAATGTTTTTAGCCAGAGTATGACAACTTTTAAATCCCTTCCACCAAAACATTTTTCAGGTTCAAAGGTTTCCTTATAAGCAGTCCTTGTAGTACTGCCATCACTTCAGCCCTTTGGAGTTCCCCACTCCTATGGGAACCAGAGAAAATTGTCAATATTCAACCACAGCAATCTCTAATGACTCCTATGCCTGATCTTCCCGAGTTGCCTAGTCACTTGATCACTATTTAGTGGATCCTACTGACATGGAGGCCAAGGCCTGTAAGTAGAGGTTGAGGCTACCCAGTACCATCCCCTCAAGATATCATCTCCAGAGAATTGATTAAACATGGTCAACGTCTTGGCCCAATGTACCACTCATTGATATTTTCACGATTCCTTTAATCTAGTCTTCCAATTGAAAGTTCTGTTGTTCCTTTCTTCCCATATACCAAAGAATAGCTACCCTCATACATCTTAATGATAATTTCCCCCTTGTCTACAGTTGTGAAAAGAAGGAACTCTTAAAGAGAGCTTCCACCTTAGGAGAGTTCCACCAACAACCAAAGAGAGCAAAGAACCTCCCCCAAACACTAGCTACAGGTGAGCATGAGATTAGCAGGTGGCAAGTTGGGTTTTGACTTACATAGAAAACGAATGTGTGACAATAAGCACCAGTTGGGTTTTGACATTTGAAGAGTATCACAGGTGCTGGTTTTGAGATGGAAAATCCATTATTTTTGGTGGCACTGGTCCACAGGGTTACCTCCTCCACAGATTCAAAATACTTTAAGCCTCTCCTAAAACCAAACTCCCATGAAATCCCAGAATTAGATAAAATGGAAAAAAGGGAAACAGAATTTTAAGGGCATATGAAGATGGAGAAAAAAAAGGTTAGGCGTGTTGTGGCTTACTTCATTCTACCAACCTGACACTGCATACATAGTGTTTGTTTTCACTTATTCTTTCATCAAAATTAATAAAATTATGATAGTTGCTGATCAAAATATAAAAGATTTCAGAATTTTTTGTTTTTTGTCGCATATAGATACCGATACAGCAGATAATTTTTTATGTAAAAAATAAGCAGCAAGTAGCAACACATTTAAAATCCAAAATAACTCACTATGACATTACATTCATTAGTTCATGTCTACCTTCTCAGACAAAACACTTTCCCTTAAAGCATTTAATGTCGTCACACCATAAGAAATCAATCCACCAACGCATGTTGGATCAACCTCTGCTATTGCACGCAATGTTAGAGCAGCTTCAATGCGCACCTGGTATGAAGTTCCTAGTTAATATGTTAATTCAGTAAAACTTTTACCAATACATAAACCAGGACACCAGGACAATTAACACAATAGTATTTTTCTCTAATGTAGTGACATTGACAATAGTATCCAAACTCAGACATTATTGATATTATCAAAAAATAAAACTCAGGAAATATTAATCTTCAGTGCCAAATAAGATAAAGGCTTACGTTCCCTATTTATAATGTCTGTGAATGAACAAGTCAGTAAAGATAAGCTAAAACCAAGAGAAGCAAGAGAAACAAAAGTCAATTTCAAATCAGAAACTTCAACTAAAGTCATTACGGCTGCATTTTGTTTTGAGTGCTTAAGTGAACAGGGTGTAAATTTTGCCACAGGTTCATTTGTTTCCCTTGTTTGTGTTGCAAATACCTTTAATACCTCTAGCCTCTAGGTGTAAAATTTAAACTCAGACCACACCATTTTCATCTTCATGGGATTGTAAAATTTGCATCTGAAAAGCAATGCAAAATTCTACTGCCCTTCTTCATTCTCAACCATATAGAGTGCGAGCACATATCATATTGGGAGGAAGACAAAGGACCAAATCATTACCTTAAATGAAGAATTCATTGAAAAGAGAAGAAAAAGTAGATCTAAAATCATTCTTTAAGCATATATCACAGACACCAAATAGAAACTTCTCAATCAACAAAATATCTTCATTCATCAAAAAGACAATGAAAAACTACCAGTCAAAAAAAATGACATCAAAAAGCAGCAAAATGATACCAAGACCATAAACTCCACCATGGAGGCAGTTGAGATGTGCCTGTGATATATTCAACTTACAAAGATAAAAGACAACAAAAAAACAAATTTTAGGTTATCCATTCTGTAAGACAAATTTCAAACCACAGTTAAGATGCAAATTGTTAACTGTCAACATTTTGTAACCATGTACTACAAGGGCACTACAGTCTCTCTTTTTTATTATTTGTATTGGGTCACCCTTATTATAAATAGAATGGCTGGTGCCGCCAGCCTTCCTTTTCTGATTCTTAGTCAAACTTTCTTGCTCTCTCTCTCTCTCTCTCTCTTCTCTCTTCCTCACATTCTATTCACTTTCTACCAAGATAATACGGTATTTGAGTGCATGTTTTGGGTCTGAGGACAGATCGATCACGGGTTCCTCTTCATCTCTTGCTTTCTTTTCAGATGAGATTCAAGAAACACTTCTTCGATTGATCTGGGAGAAGTTTTCTGTTTTTTATTCTCTTCCTCTTGGTCATGTGCCAAGGAAAACTCCTAAGATTGTGGCGGCAGGACACTGTGACAGAGTTTTAACAGTTTTCCGGTGCCTGTACATTGACCGCACAATCCTTTGTGACCAGGTACGTGGTATCTGTAGGTCTAGTATGACTGCTGTAACTGCAGTAGTATATATTCAGTAGGGATGGTTTGTGATTGCTGGTTCTGGTTTGACTTGAAAAACAACCTGGTTAGGTGCTGGAATTGTTTCAGAAGACTTCAGATTGTTGTTTTTGGGTTCAGCAGCGCTGTTTTTTGTGTTTCAGTCTTTGAAAGAGTTTGTGTGGACTGTAGTAGTACTTGATTCTTATAGTGCTTGCCTGTGTTAGACATGTTTCTTGTGATTGAATAGTGAAGTCTACCATGTCTTCCAAAGATTCTGCTACTTCTGGAGTTTCCTCTAATCCCTTAGATGGACTTAATTACCTAGAGTGGGTTAAGGGAATTAGACTTTATATTATTGCAAGAGGGAAGATAGGCTATGTTAATGGTAAGGTGAAGGAGCTAAAACCTGGAAGTGCTGAACATGACAAATGCGACAAAAAAAAAAAAAATAGTATGGTGATGTCGTGGCTTCTAGTATCTATGCTTCCATAGGTGATAAGAAACTTCATGTGCACTGATACCGCTTATGAATTTGGGAATAAGCTAAGTCCAACTATTCTTAGCAGTGGCACCATGCAAAGAGCTACCAGTTGCAGGCTGAATCCTCAACTTATAAGTAGGGGGAGATAAGTCTTCCAGTGTGTTACTCAGATTTGAATTCAATTTGGAAGGAATTGGACCAATATCAAAATGTGGATAGGAAATGTGATGAGGATGCAAAAGCCTACAAATCTCTGTCTCCCAACAGCAGGTGTTTGTTTTTTTCTTGACGCTGAATCCTGTATATGAATCTATTAGGGTGCAAATTTAGGGAAAAGACCCCCCCTTAGTCCAAGAGGGAGAGCTAGTTGCTTTGGCAGCCAGAGGTGTAGGCACACTCGTGAGACCTATTTGGATCTCCATGGGAAGTCAGAATTGGGCTTAGGAGTTAAGATATCAGCATTATATCAGAATAAGAAGCCATGCCAATAGGGCCAAAACAAGTACAATTCAGCAAACAGGGCCACTTAAGAGACTCAAACATCCAACTCTACTGTGAAACAACAGCGTTCTTTTGGTTCCGATCCCAAGGAAGATATCATCAATTCCTTCCATGACCATTTGGATATATATGGTAGGGCACTCAACCGTATGGATTCTGGCCCTACTCCCTTCCTTTGCGTTTACATCAAGTAACTCTCCTATAGACTTCCATGTATCCTCTCATACTTCAGAATCTGCCTAGACAATTGATTCCAGCACCTCAAACCACATGATGGGTAAATCAAATTTGTTTTAGTATTATAACCTTCTCTCTAGGAGGGATAAAGTGAGACTAGTTGATGGCTCATTCTCCCCCATAGCTGGTTAAGAAATCATTTCTCCCTTTTAGCCATACTCTTTTTAATGTATCGCCCTTTCTTAAACTTTCTATCATTACTAATTCATTGAACTCAGCATCCTTTTTTTCCTTGTTGTGTGATATAGGATTTGAGTCATTTGACCTCAAGGAAGTCAATTGGTAGAAGTAGTATGGTAGATGGCCTTGCAGCTATAGAGTCTATGAGTTAGTCCAGTAAGAGTCGGGTCGGTCGATTTATGGCACATTCATCTTGGTCATTTGTCTTTTGAGTCATTGAAAATTTTGTTACCAGATTCAAGTCCGTGCCAGTGTCTGAATTGAAGTGTCAAACTTGTTAGCTAAGAAAACATTGTAGAGACATTTTGCCTTCAAGAAATAATAAATCTAAATTTCTTTTTCATATTGTTTACCCTAATGTTTGGGGACCAGTTACTTTACCATTCAAGATTGATTATAAGTACATCATTACACTTATTGCTGACTACTCTAGATATACATGGGTGTATCCAATGTGATCTAGAGACGAAGTATGAAAAATTGTGAAAGATTTCCAACATATGTGTTGAAAAAGCATTATTTTGGGTGTACATGGGTGACAGGGTAGTTAAGTAATTCTGATTTTAGAATAAAGACACTCTAGTGCACTGTTTTTTATAATTAAGGGCATACTTGTAATTTTCCTACTTTATTTAAAATTAATATAAAGTTGGGCTGACTACTAAGAAGATTAAGACGTTCTAATCTCTCTCAAAAACAATTCGATGGTTTTCTACTCTTCCTTCTCCTCTCACTCTCTCTTTCTTTTCATTACTATATCTTGTTGTTTAGTGTCTCAGTACCATATTTTACATGGTACTAAAGCAAGAGACGTGAAGGAGATCTGTTAGGGTTTCTTTTCAAAGTCGATCCATCTAGGGATTCTTTTGGAAGGTTGGTAATCACTGCCATAGGGGATCAGACCAGATTTAGTGAGCTGTCGAGGTGACTAGTGATAGTGTTTTGGAATAGCGACTGATGTTGTGAAGAGGATGTATTAAGGAAGTGATAGTATTACTCGGATATATTAACTGTTTCAATTTTTTAAGCCTACAGCAGGGAGATAAGTCTCTTGAGGACTATAAAAAAACATGGCAAGTCTCTGTGAGGAACTTAATATATACCAACCTATCACCAATGATGTTACAGTTATGGAGAAGCAAAGAAAAGAATTATATATAGCTTTGTTTCTTTCAGGAATCAAACCTGAGTATGAATCAGTGAGAGCTTAGATTTGGACAATCCAAAGTTACCTGACATAGAGGATATGTTTTCTAGACTTCAAAGTGCAAAGTTATCTAAATCCACCCAGTCATCTGATCAAGCGGCACTAGTTGTATCTAGAAGTGGTGGATGAGGTTGTGGTACTTATGAAGGATGTGGAAATGGTGGTCATGGTTCTCCAGGATTTCTCAGTAGTAGAGGTGACCATGGACAACGCAGGAAATGGTAATGTCAGGTTTTGCACTCATTGTGGATTGGAAGGACATAGAATTGGCTATTAGGAGAACCATTTTCTCTCTTCTCTCTCTGAATTTTTCCAGCAAAAAGATAGACAATTCAAGTGATCAACATCAGCATTCAATAGAAGACTTGGAGTGCACATTGATTCACATACAAAGACCAGATCGAGTTCTTGCCACTTGGGTTATCCCATCTTCAGCGTGTGTATCACCATTTTGGGAGCTGTCTTTATGCCATCCAGATCAAGTAGCATTCCCTCTCTAATTTGGACATCAAATTTGCTTGGTTATCCAAAATCAATTCTAGGAGAAAAGTTATTTCTCCAAGGAAATTCAATTTCACCTTTCTTGGGTCGATTAAAGATTTAAAATTTACACCAATTTGTCCAGTGAGGTTCAACCTTTTTGAGTCAAAATCAGTCCACTCAACAGGTAGTTGACTAATTTTGTTTTTAGAATAAGGGCACTCCAGCACACTATTTTTTTATAATTAAGGGCATACTCGTATTCTCAACTTTATTTAAAGTTAATATAAAGTTGGGTCGACTGCTAAGAGGCAATTAAGACACTCCAGCACACTATTTTTTTATAATTAGGGGATACTCGTATTCTCAACTTTATTTAGAGTTAATATAAAGTTGGGTCGACTGCTAAGAGGCAATTAAGACATTCTAATCTATCTCAAAGATGGTTCGATGGTTTTCTCCTCTTCTCTCTTCTCTCTTCTCTTCTCTCTTTCTCTCTTTCTTTTCAACACTATGCCTTGTTGTTTAATGTCTCTGGAATACCATATTTTATAGTCTGATAGTTATCCTATTTTAGACCGAAATCCAAATCTTCTAATTTGACAATGCAAAAGACTACTTCCAATAGGATGCATGGGAGTTTGTGGATCTTCATCAAGGAAAAGATCCAATAGGATGCATGGTTCACAATATCAGCAATATTTGGCAATACATCACCAAAAGATCAGCATTTGCTAGGTGGCAATATGAAATCTTCTAGGAATCATTTTTTCCAAATATCCCTAATATTTTGTCAATATGTTGGTGAGATTTTAGATTTCACTAATAGACTAGGGCAACCTAGTACAAGAGGCTCCCGTCAATGCGATTTCATTGATCGACTATATACTTAACATTTAAAATTTTAGAATATTATCAAAAATTTTTCATAATTTCATTAAAATCATCATAATTTTTTTTAATGTTTTCCTAGAAGAACCAACAGGGAATTGGTAATTGGATAATTAGTTTACTACTTTGATATTATTCACTTACCAAGTCACTATAATTTAAAAGAAAAAGAAAATTGTATATGAATATAAAAGAGTATTCTCAATCTAATCAAAACATATAGTAACAATAAATACAAAAGTTTAAATGGAAAATAATTAACAAAAATAGAGAAGAGAAGATGGCCAAAGACCCGAAGGGAGACAAAGAAACATACTTATTACAATCTCTTAGTTTTTCCTATTTGATTTATACAATTCTTTGCTATGATTTTGAGCCTTAAATGTACAACATATTTCCTCTAATGATCTCTTGAAAGTTTACTAACTAATTCCATGTTTTTCAAAATTCGTTTGGTTTTTTTAGATTTTCCAAATATCTTAGCAAAATTAGCGAAATATCTCCACTCTATATGGCAAAATGTTCATCTATATTGAAATTACAAACCATGGCAGGATGTAGGAGGGTGTTTATAGTGAAACATAGAGTTAGTGGTACAACCAAAAGGTATAAAGTCGGGTTGGCAACAAAGTGGTTTACACAGGTCTATGCAAAAGCATTTGCCCCAGTAGCTAAGATGAATTCTATTAAAGTTCTCTCATTGGCAGCTAAACTTAATTGGGACCTTCACTAGTTAAACATCAATAATGCTTTTTTGAATGGTGATCTAGAAGAAAAGTTGTACATAGTTCAAACTCCTAGTTTTTGTACAAAAGGCAATGAGCAAAAAGTGTGCAAGCTAAAAAAAATCCTCATATAGCTTAAAACAATCACTAAGGACTTGGTTCAGTAGGTTTCACTTAGTTGTACAATAAATAAACTTCAAGAAGTGTCAGTTCAACCATACATTGTTTGTTAAGAGGGGGGAAGGTAAAATTGTGGCCCTAATAGTGTATGTTGCATAGTTTTCAAGGCATCTAGGTGATTCTAGGCAACACTAGGGCAACTAGTCACCGAGGCAAGCACCTAGGTGATAATAATTTTATAATATAAAGAACTAACTTTTGGCTAGTTTCCTAGTTTTGTATTAAGAACATTCCTCTAAAAATGAGGCAGATCACCACATCTAAAAAATAAAAATCTTTTTTCATTTATTAATTTCATTATTTTCAAAAACAATACTACTATAATAAATAATTAATAGAGCAATTTCATATCAATTAGCAGCTAAAGAAGGTTATTAACTTTATATGATAAATATTCAAGAAGTAAAATAAAAAAAAACAAGGATGGAATTATTGTTTTATTTAATTAAAGAGAGAGAGGGAATAGGAAAAAAAAAAAAAAAAACCTCTATATACTTCCATTCTTTCTTTCTTTTTCTCTCCTCAAAACCCTCTCATCTTTTAAATTTCAATAGCAAAACATTAAAACAAAGTATAAATGATATAGATATATATAGCATATAATAAGATATAAGAATATAAATGATATAATACAAGGTGCCTACCTTGTCATTTGTCGCGTAGGTGGACACCTTGTTACTATAAGTTAGGGCATTTGGGCGAGGTGCTTAGTCAAGGACACCTAATCGCCTAGCCAACGCCTTGATAACTATGGTATGTTGATAGCATAGTAATCAGTGGTGATTGGACAACTGAAATTCAAAAGCTAAAGGAGTTCTTAACTACTTAGTTTAAGATGAATGATCTAGGCCCCTTACGCTATTTCCATGGAATTGAAGTTGCCATCTCACAAAAACAGATCTTTATTTCATAAAGGAAATACATCCAAGATATATTATAGAATACAGGCAAGCTAGGAGTGAAGCCAACTAATTCCCACATTGATCCAAATCACAAAGCTGGGTGATTGTCATGGGGAAACCAGAAAAGATGTGAAGAATTTCCAAAAACTTGTACAAACACTAATATTTGTCTATGGTCAAACTTGACAATGCTTATGTCTTGGGTAGGGGTGAGAATCGTTTGGTTAAAATGAAAAATTTTGGTTTTGGTTTTCTTGGTTTTATTTTACTTTGGTTTTTCATGAATTTGGTTTTAAAAATTTTGCTTTATTCAGTTTAGTTTTTAACCAAATAAACCGTTTGCTCACCCCTAGTTGTGGGTGTTCTTAGCCAGTTCATGCACACCCCTAAGGCCACTCATTTGGAAGTTGTCAAGAGGATTCTAAGGTATCTCAAGAAGTTTTAAGAGCCGGTTTGTTGATCCAGAACCATGGGCATTTGAAGGTTCAAGTGTATACAAATGCTGTTTGGCTAGATCAGTAGATGGCAAAAAATCCACTAGTGGATATTGTACCTCTATGGAAGGAAAACTAGACATATGGAGAAGTAAGAAACAAAGTGTGGTGACTAGGTCCAGTGTAAAAGCTAAATACAGAGCTATGTCTCATGGGATTGCAGAGATCATGTGGATAAAAGACTTGTTGGATGAACTCGTGTTTATAGTTGATAACCCCATGTCACTTTATTGTGATAATAAAGATGCCATCAATATTGTAGCCAACCTTGTACTCCATGATAGAACAAAACACATTGAAGTGGAAAAACACTTTATCGAGAAGAAGCTTGTGAGTGGGGAAGTGTCCACTCCATATGTTAGTTCTAAAGAGCAAGTTGCAGAAATCTTCACGAAGGGTCTACATCACTTGCATGACAAGTTGCGCATGAATTGCATGATTGACATCTATGTCACAACTTGAGGGGGAGTGTTAAGTATGAACAATTTGTAACCATAAGCTGCAAGGGAACTATAGTCTTTTTCTCCTTTTTATTATTTGTATTGGGTCGCCCTTATTATAAATTGAATGGTTGGTGCTGCAAGTGATGTATTGGGTCAACAATCGAATTTCCTCATTTTCCTCTCTTTCCCCTCTCTCTTCTCTTTTCCCCGCATTTTATTGACTTCCTACCAAGATAATACAAATAATGGAATAGCTTCAAATAAAGGGCCAAAAACATTAATAGATGAGTACAATTATGTTATTGTTGCAATGACCACTTGTTTTTGCAAAATTATATGAATACAAGTCAACAAAATTACAAATCTCAGAAAAGAATTTCAATCAAATTATAAAGGGAAAAAGAAAAGTTCAGTTAGAAGTAGAATGAGCTAGAAGAGCAAGGGGCAGACCGAAAAGGACTTAGATGGACGTAGTAAGAAATGATTTAAGCACCTATAATTTAATGATGGATATGGCACTGAACAGAATAGAATGGCAAAACAGAAATCATGTAGCCAATCCCATATAGTTAGGACAAGGCTTAGATGATGATGATGGTTAAAAGAAAAACATCTAAGTTACTGAAAAATTTAAGTTGTAGTACAGAACTTAGCTGTTAAAGCCTTACAAGTATTGATGAATGAGATAAGGCTGCAACAACTGTGTCATCAAGGACTTCCTTAAACTCAAATGGAACCTGTAAATTTAAACAAAAGTTCATATGATAACTCAAGGAATCTTAAGAAAGATATATCTTGTATGAAATCAAAAAGTGCTATTAAAGCAGAAAACTCCTAATATGTAGTAGGATTCAGCCACAAGTATTAACAGGAAAATAAAGAAGAGAAAATGAAGAGGAAGCAATAATAATTCCTACTATACCATTTAGCAATGGTAGAAACAGAAAAGAACACTTTATTTACACCTTAGCAGAAAGAAAAGCAATAATAAAATGCTCTTTACAAGACCTGATGAGACTCTTCTGTAGACCCAAAATCAGCAACTTCCAACTTGTAATTGGACTCTAACTCCTACTTGTATTAAAACTAAAGAAAAAAAAAAAAAAAAAACTTCTTATTCAAACTATGACACCTTTATAACTCTACTAATTCCATAAAACCTGATGTGGACGCATTTATTGGGAGGAAATACCGCCGCTGGCAGCAGCAGTAATTTGGTGCTCTCATCTTATCCAATTCGGCAGCAGCAGTAAATTGGTGTTTTCATCTTATCTAATTCTAGCTAGATACAGTTCTACCTTATCTATTCAGTATTCTTATCTTCTCTGTTTCAGTAGTAGGGATTAGTAGGGAGTCTTATCTATTCAGTGTTCTTATCTTATCTATTCAGTAGTATAGATTAGTAAGGAGTCTTCCTAAAAGTAGAACTCTTACCTCTTGTAATCTCCTATTTAAGGAGCTGATATTATTCAATAAAAGGCATCGAAAATTTCAGTCAAGGAAGAGCAAGGAGAGTTGGTGATCTCTTGAACAAATCACCATTAAGGACGCCAAGATAGGTTCCTCAAGAAAAGGGAGGAACAAGGGAAAACAGGAGGTTTTCCCCGTGGACCGACCCAGACGAGATCCTATTCTCGGGCCCTTAACAAAACCAACTTAATGTAAGAAACCAAGAATTACAAAAAATAATAAATCATAATCTCACTACAAACAGTAACTACAGAAGAGTATCAATAACAATAATGGGAACTAAATAAAATAGCAAGTCCAAAAGATACTATAATTTCTAGAAGGCTGAGACTTATCAAATGATAAAACCAACATGGACCAAACTTGACAAAAAGATTCCATTGCTGTAGATAAAACAACCAGTGGGGTCCAATGGTCAAATTTGGCCATGACCTGCAGAACCCAAATCAGTCATTCTGAAGCCTTCAGTTGGGGCACTACCACATCTGGTTGAACTGAAAATTTACAGTCTTAAGCACCATAAGGGTATGTTACTTCCACCAAATTTTAGCCAAGTCAACTAAAGTTTGACTGGCTGAACAATCACTTCTTTTTCTAGTAAACAATGCAACTGCAGATATGCCATCTGCCCTCTTTTATTCAATTTCTTCCCATCACTTCCAAGTTTTCATCGGCAATTTATACATTAAGTTAGCTGGGATAAATCAGTCTCATAGAACCACACCTGACTAGCTCCAGATGCATTTTAGACCACAATCAAACCAACATTATTAATTCAAATTCCCATATCAGTTGAGCCCTCTTAGTGGTACCAGAAACAAAATTGTAGATTTCTTGTTTACAACTCTTATCCTGCAAAGGTAGAAGGGTATTAAACAACTCTTTTTCTAAGCCTGTTTGTTATCAGGAGACTGAATTGTTGTGTAAAAACCAGTAGAGAAAAGATTAATAATTGATATAAAAGAAGATTAAGAAATAAACCAGAATAACTTTAATAGGAATTAGGAGTAAATTGTGATTCATCAAAGTAAATATACTATATTTTGTCTTTTTGCCTAATGCTCCATGGAATAGTCGGAGGTCACCTTGTCCTCTATTTATTTGTGCAACACCTATTAATAGAAGGAGACTCCAAGGTGGTTGTGGGGTGGCTACAGAACCCATAATCTGTGACTTGGTGCTTTAAGAATGAACTTAAGAAATTTAAGTGGCCAAGAAGGAACCTGTGTGTCAGAATACAGTGGGTGGGGAGATCAGCTAACTCTATGGCTGATAAGCAAGGGACAAATAGGGATCGATTGTATTGAGCATATTTGTAATCTGTTGTTGATTTGCTTGCTTGGAGAGGTAACAGCTCATGCCTCTCCATGGGACACTTGTATCCATTATTATCCTTAATTTAATAAAAGTATCATCGTTTATCAAAAAAAATATATTTACATTGATGGAACTTCCTGTAAATGATAACAATATCAAAATCTCCTCCCTAGTCTACATTATATATATATAGATATATATATATATAAAAGGACTGGGTCCATGTTAGCAGCATCGTGATCCTCTAAAATTCCCTTTTTTTTAATTCAAAAAAAAATAAAAGTAAACAAAAGGAGTTAGGAAATCAGTTGTCATTAATTGAAAAAGACTATAAATTCAATTGTCATTAATAGAAACCCCCATTAATTATTTCTTAATTTTATTCAGTATTAATTCAATGCTATATTTATTAATATTAGAAATTTTATTTACTATAACAAACTAAATACAAACTAATATATGATTAGATGTCTAATGATATTAAAATTAAATCATCACTTAATTTGACACACCCTCGCAGCAAAAATAGATGGTAGACAGATTGCATTGACCTACATTGAGTAAAGAGTTGGCAAAGGAAATGGTAACCCCCTTTGAGCTAGATAAGAAGGCAATCTTCTCCATGGAGAGAGACACAGCCCCTGGGCCTAATGGTTTCTTGATAGCTTTTTCTCTTTGATAAATAATTTCTTGAAGCTTTCTTCCAAGACTATTGGCATATTGTTAAGAATAATTTAATGGAGGCCTTTGGGAACTTTCTTAATAGGGTAATTATCAATGCAGGGGCTAATGCAAACTTTTGTGATTCTAGTACCCAAGATTAAGGAAGCTACTCACTCTAGGGATTTTTGACCAATCAGTCTTGCCTGCAGTTTCTATAAAATCATTTCCAAGGTTAAGGAAGCTACTACCCTAGGGCCTCTGGGGATTTTTGTTGGTTGTCACAACTCCTTTATGGTCTCTATGACTCCTCCAAATTTTTTGTTTTTAATTTTTTAAACATTAAATATAGGGCTACTTAAACTCACCCACAACCAATTCAGTGTACTTTTTGTTAGGAAACTGAATCTAATCATATGGGGCATTTTCACACCAATCCATACATCGCACAGATATGAAATCACACCAATCCACACATCACAAGACCCACCAAAAAGGAGCCACAAACTGAAGGCACAGAACAACAATAGTAAGCCAACTCATGAAAGCAAGAGACAAGCCAAATGTAGAGTGTGATATTTATGAAAGCTCAACTTAACCACCCTTACCTCTCCCAAAGTTTTCAATGTATATGATAGGGTACGTAGGGCAGCAACTACCATGGAGGGACTAATGTCAGGAGATTCAAGCTGCGAAATACCAGAACACTTCTGTGAGTGCATATATAACAAAAAAAATTGAAACAAATATTCTTCAGTGTTTTAACCATTTGATGTTCATATGAAATATGCTTCATTTACAGAGAGTGTATGAAAAATGGGGACATTTCAGCATACCTGTTTTCCCAGAAGAACCAAAAAGGTTCGTTGAGTAGGTTCAGTCATCTGATCAGTTACACCAACCCGAAGAATATATAGGGCACATGCCTTCAAAAAAAGGGAAATATGGCAAATTGTCTCAATATATATTAAACCACACAATTAACAAAATGCTTTCAACCAAAAAAAAATCAACACGATGCAGAGATGATATGGAATATTCTAGTTTTTAGCCATTCGAAAACTTCTGCATGGATCCCATACACAAAATTTAGAAATAAAACAAGTAACTTTTCTGCAGTTCTGCACTCATATCAAGACTCAAGGTTGATAGCACTTCCAAAAGAGCAGTTGTAGATAAGGCCCATCTTCTTTTCTTTTTTACTTTTGAAGGTAAAAGTATTGGCATTACTCAATAAACTGTACAAGCAGCCCAATACCATGAGAATCTGTAAAACCAAACAGGGTGAAGTGCCAAAAGTTCAAAAAATACTCAAAAGACAATACATTTCTGTGCATTCCTGTGATTAAAGGCATAAAACATGTATTTGTAAGCCATGAAGACAGCAGCTCAATGCAAGAATTAATCACTGCTTCAACAGGACTCTTCTTTTGTTCAAAAAAGTGAGTGTTTCTTTCCAAGCAAGCCACCCACAAAACAGTGCAAGAAATACAAGCCCACAGAACCTGCTTTTTTTCTTAGATCCTTTTGTCTGCCAGTACCTCAACATCAGGTCCACTGAATTTGAAGCAGACCAATAGCTCAGCACTGAGAAAAAGATGCCAGATTCTGCTTGTGTAATTGCAATGAAGGAAAATGTGGTTACAGTTCTCGTCAGCCTGTTCACAAAGTGGGAAGTTGATATTATTGAGGCCATACCTGTCACGTTGAGGTTATCCACTATCAGACATTTACCCATGGCTTCTGTCCAAACCAAAAACTTAACCCTGGAACGTGAAGCCCCCACAAGTTGATTTAAAAAGGAAAGTCACTCCAGCTTCTACTGGTGAGATGTTTGAAGAGAGATTGAACACTGGACTCTCTGCCTTGATCCCACATCCATATTCAAACTGTCAAAACCCTGGTGTTTGGTTGCTGATTGTGAAGCAAAAGAAGCAATTCAGCCACAAGCTCCAGTTTCCAGTCGCTGAGGTTCCTTCTAGACAAGGGAACCACACCACCTCCCCATTAACTTAAATCCAAGAAATCTGCTACTATTCCATCTCTGTTTCAAGAAGCCATACACAGGGAAGGGAACAGATCTTTGAGAGGGATATCAGAGCACCAATTATCTCTCCAGAAACTAACCTTACAGCGATCACCTACTTTGTATCTGACCCCTTTTATAAAGTGATGGAAAGCTTTGCAAATAGCCCTCCACACTGAGCAACCATAAGGCTGAGTTGATTCAATGGTATCCCAGCCCATTTTCTGATAGTAAAAGGAAAATTTTCATTAAAAAAGAAAAACTAGTACAAGCTGATAAGGTGTTAAGGCAACACCTTCAAACAAAACAAATACATAAAATCCAAACCAGAATAAACCATCCAAATTACAGATTTGCAAACCCAAGACATCCCAAAGCATGTCCCTAATATCCTCTTTATTGACTTGTGCAAATTCTGGCAACACCAAAACCCAATCTGAATTCTGAAACAGATTTACCAACAAGGCAACAACAACTACCACCATCCTATCCAAACTCCAGGCCTTATTCAATCACTCTTCTATTCCTTTCCTTCCATATATTCCAGTAAAATAGCAAAAGGTATGCACCTCCAAATCAGCCTGGCCTTCTTAATGCCTCTGAGCTTTGGTCATGAAGAAAAGATCTCTGAAGGAATCCTTGGATGAAAGTTCTTACACCGAACAATGCTGTGAAGAGATTCCATATGAAACCAGTAATCATGCAAGGTATAAATAGATGCCTAATTGATTCCTCTGTTCTTTTCACAGGTAACAGATGCTAGCCATGCTGAATCCTCTCCTCTACTCTTCAAATGGTCCACAGTCGAGATTACCCATACTTCCATAGCAACAAGCCAAGCAAAGGCTTCCACCCCCGGAGAGACCGGATTGCCGCAAACGCTTTTGGCCTGGTTTGAATCCAATTTGTTCCTGCAAAAGGCTAAGTAAAATGACTTTCAGAAAATTTTCCATTTGAACACTCCTTCCACCACATCGCATCCCTTGAGTGGTCAGAAACTTCACATTCTCCAACTTTTCCAATAATGCACTTCTATTTCTCTGTCAAGCAATGGTCTCCTGAATCTTGGGCACCAAACCAATTGCTCCCCTCTCCTTTCATAGCAGTTTATAAAAGTCACATCAGATTCAGCCAGCCTATATAGCCTTGGACATAATTCACAAAGCTTTCCAACCCCACACAAATCATCTTCCTAACAAAAGATATTTTTAAAAGACAATTAAAATTATAAAATCTTTTTTATAGGGATTTAAGAATTTAAGACCCCAATATGGACTTGTTTAGGCTTGCCTCGAGGGGCTTGGTTGGGGGTCCAGGGTCGGAAACCCAAGCACAGCTGATAGGCATAAAAAAACAGAAACATGCGTAAATTTTCAAAAGACGTGCACTTGGGCTAAAGCGCAAGGTGCACCACATGCCTTTTGAAAGTGTTGTGCCTAGGACCTAGGCGAGGTGCATACCCTAAAATGTGACTCGCCTGTGTGCCTAAGCGCACTTGAGGCACGTTTTAAATAACTGCCTCACCCTTCTAAACCCCAAATGCCCTTCTTCCTTTGGCTTATAGACTTTTTCCCACTTGACCAAATGGAATTTCCTGCCTTCCCTCCCCCCCCCCACTCCTTCCCATAAAAAATCTCTTTGGATTTTCTACACCCTCTTTGCAACTTCTGATGACACCCTTAACGAGGATAAATAATATGTTGACAAGCTTGATAAAACACTTCTAATAAGTGTTATCCTCCCCTCCAAAGAAAAATATTTTTCTCTCCAACCATCCAATCTTCTTTCAATTCTTTCAACAATTGGCTTCCACAATGCAGCTGAAGCTGAATAAACCAAGAGATTTTACTACCACCAGCTGTCTCTCCACTATTTGTTCAATGCCCACCCTATATCTGTTAATGTTCTCCCTTCTTGTTCCTAAACCTTCCTCCCCCTTGAGAGGTTGAATGGTGATGTTCAGAGGGATTTTATTTCTACCCCCAACTCCTCCCCCCCCGCCCCTTATTTCTACCCCCAACTCCTCATGATCTTCTACTTCTCACCATTCAACCCCAATCCCTCCACCTCCCTATATCGAGGCTCTTCTCTTTCTATTATACATCCTGTGTTGTTGATCAACCATATTACCCACACTAGAGAACTTTCTCTTCAACCTACTTCCCTTGCCTTCCTCTTCACCAACCCTAGTTCTCCTATTCTCCACTTATTACATCTCCAAGCACAGGCAAAGAAGCAATAGGAACAGAGCTCATGTTTGTATTCAATCGAGATATTAAATCAAGAGCTTTGAACCTGGCAGACGTCTCTCCGCATTATCCTTCATAGCTGCAACAGATGCATTTTATTCACTCTGTCTTGTTCCACATCTATGAATCCACCACCACTCAAGCCTACTGCCCCAACATCGATGTTGATGTTCAGAGGTTGCACCTCTATCGACGAATTTCTCTAGATCTTATTGTGTTTCCATCCAGTTGTAATTCTTCTATCCAAGGGGAGTCACTTTGTCTTTAGCTTCTCTCCTTTCTACCACTAAAATTTTCTGCCCTTTCTCAAACCTTGTTACAACCCAAATCCACTCTTCCTTCGAAGTCACCCTTCTTTAGCTTTTCTCCTTTCTACCACTAAAATTTTCCGCCCTTTCTCAAACCTTGTTACAACCCAAATCCACTCTTCCTTTGAGGTCCCCACCCTTCTTCTGTTTTCACTAACATTGTGGGACTTCAAACTCTTTCAAAGAGACTTCACCTTTGCAAAAACACCCCTCCTTTTTACTACCTTTAACCTTTTATTCTGGCTCCTCCCTTTAAAATCCTTTTTCAAATTCTTGCAAAAGTGGTCCCCACCCCTACCTTTATTCTTAATCTCACCTGCTATCGCTTGTTCCCTATCTCCTCCCTCGACCCTTTCACTCGACCTTTGGATTTCCAATGACTTACATATCTCACCCTCCACGTGTCCTCCACATGTCCAAACCTGTTCCCTATCTCAAGGTGCAGCAGAATATTCTTTTTACTTCTTTCTCGCACTCTTCTCTTCTTTACTCTCTTCCCTTCTATTTTTCTTTGACTTGATAACTTTGAAACCTTATTTTTCTAATTGTACTGCTTGACAAGTACATGCAGATCTTATACGACATAAAATTGAATGCTAGCTACATGGCCAACTCGAAACACAATGGTTAGCAGGGTATACTTTACAACACTGTTTTAAAAACCGGACCAGACCGGAAAAACCGGGAACCGGTCACCTGACCAGTTCCGTTTTCCTCCAAAACCGTTGATTTTGGTCAGCAAACCGCTGAACCATCCGGTTAACCGTTTGAACCGTTCGAACGGTTTTGACCGTTTTCCAATTTTTTAAATTGTTTATTTTTTTTGTCAGAACGGGCGGTCGTTCGGGTCAAACGGTCTGACCAGTTCGGTCACCGGTTCGTTTTTAAAAACCATGCTTTACAATGCAATTCCGTTCCTTGCAATTTACCCAGCACTTGGCGCTATGTTGAAAGGTAAGCTCAATTGTAAATAGAAATGAAATACAAAATGAATGTCGAAGCCACATCATCAGAGCCTTAACAATTTGGGGTAACAGATGATGTGCACCTGAAACTATAGAGAACAAATAAATACAGTAAGCTATTATGATGTTTTGTTCTTTTCTATTCTTATCCTTGCTTCCCTTTTCTTCTGTTTTTCCTCTTATTTCTGAGAAGGATTTAAATGAATTATCAGACAGATCACCAGTTAGAAAACTAGAGGATGAAAAAAAGAAATTGCCACTAAGGCTCAATATCACAGATGTAAGGGAGGAGATACCATCGCGTGTGCATCCACAGAAGAATCACCTCGAAGCATTTCCATAGCCTGTATGGCAAAGCTCTGAAGCTCGGTATCTGGATATAGATACTTGAGTCGAATGACCTGAGAGATGTAAAAAGAGCGCAAGCCAAAATTGTAAAGTGCATTGTCAAAAAACAAAAGGACTTAGATGAAAACAGAAAAAGAATAATTCTACTCTATTAATAGAAGTTGCAGGTAATGCAGCAAATTCAAAGACATGTAAGAATCAAAATTCATACAAGACATATTGCATTTCCAAATAATACAACATCAACACAAAGAAGGACGTAATAACTGCCCTCAGAAAGGAGTGAACTATAAGACAGTATTATCAAAGCATTGTTGTTGACTAATTGACTCACTATTCAATTGTAGGCCATGTCAACTGCATCAGTAACCAGTCCATTGGTAACCATGATAAGGCACCGGGACAACTAAGCATCAACTAAATCAACTTAGTTGATATATGGCTAATCAACCTAGTCAACCACAAAGTTGTTTTCTAGCTTTATTTGTCTATGGTTCTCTTTATTGATTTAAGATAATGCCATGCATCCTTTTAAACATGCAAGTTGCTTTAAGCATTTAAGATAGCCCCTGGTAGAAGGACTGATGTGATATAAAATATATAAGGAAATGTGTAGCACATTCAGATGGCTGAGGACTGCGAGTGAAATGGCAGACTCCTTAGCCAAGCAAGGGCACTTGGGCAGCACTTTACTCGGCAGAGTTATAATACTTTCTGTTTGTTTGGGGTGTTGGAATATGTCCAACTTATGTATGTTAATTTCATGTTTTGAAGTATAATTATATAATCAGAGAGATCAACTGTTTTCCACCTTCCGGAGGACTATATGCCTCTTTTATGAATTTATTTTTTCCATCATTTTCTAACAAAGATCAGATCAGTTACCAATTGAAAAATAAATAGTAAGCATACTGTTTTCCAAGACATTAGCATTTACCTGTAAAAAGGATACCCATGATAATGTCAGTCCAATACGAATATCCTTTGAGTGGGCACCACTTGCTGCAAATTGAATGAATTATAAGAAATATTTGAAGACCAAAGGCCATAAACACTTTCACTAAGGTATGATGGACCAACATAACAGTCATCGTATGCCCACATACAGTTTGCAGAAGGACGGTATTACAAAGTCATTTAGAAACAACTGTAGGCTTTAAAGGAAAAAAATATTGGTAATGAAAAATATAGAACTTTAGCAATTGTTCACTAATGAATGTCCCCATTCAACATAAGTGAAAGTTAACAAATAATCTTTTACATCAAAATAAATATATATATATATATTAAAGGCTGCAAGTTTTCCATTTGCAATTTGTCAACAACACACTTATATTTCTAGAAGCAACCCAAGAAAATATTTTGAATGCTAAAAATGTTATAAGATGCATTTAAGCTATTATATGATTGAAAGTAAGCCTAACAAATAGCTGCCTATTCGGCAATCATATGGAAGAAGGGAAGGAGAATTACAAGGAAACCTTGGGCCGAAAAGTGGAAAACTGGCTAGTTAAATACCGGGGCATGCCTTTGGAGTAGATCCAAAATCCATCTATTTCTAGGATCTCGTTATTAAGAAATGTGAACAGATAATAGCCTCACAGAAAAGGAAATATGTATCTAAAGAGGGTTGTGTCACACTAATCAAAACATTTGTTGCCAATATCCCACTATACTTCCTCTTTGTCTTTCAAATTGAAGGCAAAGGTTAGGACACATGGAACAAATTCAGAGAAATTTCTTATGGGGCAAGCTGGGGGGAAGAGGAACACCTGGTTAGATGGAAAGAAGTTTGAAACCCAAGAAAGATGAGGGATTGGGTCTAGGATGTGTGTCCTGAAGAAAAAATGGACTTATGGGTAAATAGCTTTGGAGGTTCCCTCACAAGTAATCCAGCTGTTGGGCAGCCACTATCAGTAGCGACTATGACTTAAACACCAACAGGTGGGGAAGCAACCTTAATCAGCACCAATACTCTATACAATCCTTGGACAAATATTTTTTTAATCAATAACTGAAAATTCATTTATTAAAATTAAAGTATTACAAATAAAAAGGAGAGAGAAACTCTCTTAACTCTCCCCAAAACAGTAAACAAGATCACAACATGGACCAGAACATTTGATTCCTTTCCACCCCTTGTTTAGCCAGCACATCCGCAAAGCCATTAGCTTCTCTTTTCACCCAAATCGGCTTCAGTTCCATTCCTTGTGTCAGCCACTTGAACTTCCTTTTTTCATTGATATAATCCCACCAGCCCAACTCCTCTTTATGAAGCCAATTTATAACCAACTTTCAAATCCCCTTCTATTATCAGTTTTGAGATATTCAAATCTTTGGCTTTTTTGAGCTCCTTCCACGATAGCTAAAATCTCAGCCCTTAGTGAGTCTCCCACACCTAAGAGACTTGAAAAATGAGCAATTATTTTACCTTCATCATTTCTAAATACTCTTCCCATGCCTGAATGACCCGGATTTCCTTCATTGCTACCATCAAAGTGCAATTTAATGAAGCCACTGAAAGGATACCAAGATAGCCTCATTACAGCTTTCAAAGGAACAGAATCAGCCACTTCCAACGTCGCATCAAGTCAACAGCTAAAACATCCTCAAATAATTTTAGTGTTTTCACCCAATGTAACACTCTAATGGTGATGGCTTCAACTAGAGCCATCCCAACTCCTCTCTTTTTCTGCAAATGTTCTTTGATTCCTCTCTTCCCAAATTGTCCAACACACTGCAGCTAGCCTTACAAAGGAAAAGGAAACACCAGTGAGGGGATAAGCACCAATTAGGTTTTTTACTTTAAAGAAAATCACAGGTGTTAATTCTTTCCAAAAACGCAGAAACCACCAATTCTAGGCAGAATTGATTAGTTCCAAGCCTCTTTTACTGGAAAAGATATGCCCAAACTACAGGAGTCAGGGTTGATGGAAGCAGGAGATAAGGAAGAGAGATTTAATTTGAGAAGAGAGTTAGAAACTACACTCCTAAGAGAGATGTGGAAGCAGAAATCAAGAGCGCATTGGACAAAGAAGGGGATGGGAACACAAAATACTTTCACATGATTGAGAACGGAAGGAAAAGGAAGAATCTGATCTCTCTATTAGAATTGGAGGATGGCACATTAACTAATCAGGATGAAATTGCAAAGAACTTGGTAGATTATTTTAAATCGGTTTTCAGATGGCCTCTATCAGGAAGATGGAAAGTAGAAGGATTAGACAGGCCAGTTTTAGAAGGTACTCTAAGCAGGCACTTGGGAAAAAAATTTGAGGTGGATGAGGTAAAGGAAGCAATCTTTTCTATGGACCGCTCTAAAGCACCAGGGCCCGATGGATTCTCTATGGCTTTCTACCAGGACTGTCGGGAGTGGATTAAGGGCAATCTTATGCGAGTCTTTGAGGAATTTTATCACAGAGGGATTGTTAGAAGGGGGGTAAATGCTACTTTTATCGCACTAATCCCAAAGAAGTTTGGTGCTTGCCATCCAAAGGATTTCAGGCCAATCAGCTTGGAAACAAGTCAGTACAAAATCCCAGCCAATGTTCTCTCTCTTCAGTTAAAAAATGCCCTCCCATCAATAATCCTCAACTCCAAGGGGCTTTCACCCAAGATAGACAAATTTCGGACCAAATACTCATTGCCAATGAATGTGTGGAGGATTTCAAGAAATCGGGTAAGAAGGGCATTGTGTGCAAGCTGGATCTAGAGAAAGCCTACGATTTTGTGGATTGGGAGTTCCTGATTGAAGCATTGAGACAGGCGGATTTGGAGTAAGATGGTGCAAATGGATTAAGGGTTGTCTAAAATCCTGCCACTTCTCAGTTCTAGTAAATGTAGTCAAGGATTTCTTTGGGGCCCAAAGAGGAGTGAGACAAGGGGAGCCACTTTCTCCCTTCCTTTTCACAATTCTAGCAGAGGTGCTTGGTAGAAGGATTTTGAGGGTGGATGAGAGGGGTCTTTTAAAGGGGTTGAGAATAGGACTGGAAAGAGTGGTGGTAACTCACCTACAATTTGCAGATGACATCATTATCTTTTGTGAGAGTGGAGGCAAGTTAGATGCAAGAAACCTAAAGATGTTGGTGAATCTATTTGAAAAAGTGACAAATCTAAAGGTGAGCCTCAATAAAAGTGTGGTGGCAGGGATCAACTTAGCTCAAGAGGAGATTAACTTATGGGCTGGGGAGCTAGGTTGTTTACAGAGTGTCTGGCCGTTGAGGTATCTAGGTCTTCCCCTTGGGGCAAATCCTAGAAATCTAGAGTTTTGGAACGCAGTAGTGGAAAGGTTTGAAAGGAAGTTGGCGGTGCGGAAGAGGAACTACATTTCTTTGGGGGGTAGGATTACTCTCATTAAGTCAACCTTAGCAAATCTTCCGGTGTATTACCTCTCAATGTATTGCATGCCTCAGGCTATTGGAAAGAAGTTAGAGAGGATAATGAGGGACTTCTTGGGAACCAGGTGATAAGAAGAAAGATCATTTAGTAAAATGGGAACTAGTGAATAGGAGGAAGGAGTATGGAGGCTTGGGATTAGGGAGATTGAAGGAAAGGAATAAGGTGTTACTAGGAAAATGGTTATGGAGATTCCCTCGTGAGACAGACAGGTTATGGCACAAAATTGTGGCTAGCATACATGGGCTCTCAAAGAATGATTGGGATGCTGGAGTATCTTGTAGAGCTTCTAGCGCATCACCATGGAAAGAAATTCACAAACTCCTTCCACTATTGCTCAGTCATGTCAGGTTTGATCTCAATTCAGGTAACAAGATTAACTTTTGGGAAGATGTGTGGGTGGGTAACTCTCCTTTGAAGACATTGTTCCCCTCAATTTATGCCCTTTCCTCTCTTAAGAATAGACCGGTTGCTGATTTCTTAACCCCTTCTCCCTCCCAGTCTGGTTTTGCTTGGAATTTGGGGCTTCGTAGAAATGTGAGAGATTCTGAGATGTGCTTGGTGTCCTCTATCCTTCATCTGCTAGATGGGGTGTATCTTGATACCTCCAAACAAGATACTAGGCTTTGGACCCCTCACCCCTCCGGAGCCTTCAGTTGTGCTTCCTTCTTCAAAACCTTGTATACTTCTGCTCAACCTGGGGTATTGCTTCCAGTCCAAGAAGTTTGGTGTCGCCCCATTCCCCCGAAAGTGAGTGCTTTTTGTTGGGAGGTCTACTATGATGCAATTAACACCTGTGGTCTGATGCAGAGGAAGAGGCCTGGCTGGTGCCTTTCTCCTAATTGGTGTTGTTTGTGCAAGTCAAGTGGCAAAAACTGCTTTTCATATATTTGTCTCCTGTCCTGTTGCTAACTGTATTTGGGACTGTTTTTTCTCTCTCTTTGGATGCAGGTGGGATACCCCAATGAGTTTGGAAAGGCTATTTGACTCCACTTTTAGATGGCCAAAAAGAAGAGGTAGAATGCTATGGAGATGCACTCGGGCAGCAGTGCTTTGGGTGATATGGGAGGAAAGAAATCTGAGAATCTTTGAAGAAAAACGAAGATGCAAGGAAGTGCTGATAGAAGGGACCATGATAAAGGTGATTTCGTGGGTAAAATCTGTGGGATTGTTCTCAGATTTTACTGTGGATGATATCTTCAGAAATTGGAGGACAGTAGCTTCCTCTTCATCAACTAAAAAGAAGGTTTTAAGAGAGTGGGATCCCCCTGATTATGGCTTCCTCAAATTAAACCTTGATGGAAGTAGTTTTGGCAACCCAGGAATATCAGGAATTGGAAGGGTGATAAGAAATGACAAAGGGGCTGTGGTGGAGATGTTCTCAGGCCTTATTGGAAGGGGAAACTCCACTACAGCTGAACTAAAGGCAGTGGTTTTTGGGATACAAAAGGCTATGGAGTTGGGAGTGAGAAAACTGGTTGTGGAAGGCGATTCCAAAGTGGTCATAAGCTGGTTAAAGCAAAACGAAAAGACTCCCTGGCTCTATAGAAATGAAATTAAGAAGCTTAAATGCTTTTCTAAGGACATGCAGTTGTTAATACAGTGGACTCCAAGAGCGGCAAATGGCTTTGCAGATCAGCTAGCAAAACAGGGGGTTAACAGGGAACATTGTTTCTGGGCTCAGTTGTAAGGCTGGATAAATAAAAGTCGATAGTTGGCGAACTCTAAATTCTAGTGGGGTAGCCGAGGCTACTCATTTCTGTAATCTTTCTAAATTTACAATGAAATCTTTTTTACTGATCAAAAAAAAGATATGCCCAAACTATCACTCATCTGGGTTAAGGACACAAAGAAGGAGTCACAAGTAAAGAACCTGACGGGGAAAGAGTCCAAATTCTATATTTATAAAAAAGAGCCCAAATTCTACAGTCACCTCTTGAAGGGTTCAAAAACACCCCCTAGAGATTTTGGATCAAGGAAAGAGCACTAGCCATTTCACAATCCCGCAGACCACTTCTAAACCCCAAATCACAATCAAACCTTGAACTAGAATTAAAAGGGACCAAAAAAAGAAGCAATAGGCTCATTCTTCCGGTCAGAAATTGCACAAAGGGATGGGAATTGTTCTTTTAGTGGTAAGGAGCCAACTAAACATGATCCCAAAACTTTACAAGATTACTAGATCAAAGATTATACCTGACTGATTTCCAGGGCTCTTAAGGGGTTCTCAAGTTGGTAGGAGAATGGTGTCAGTAAGGACTTGAGGAATTTCTGAAGACATGGAAGGGAAGATGGACAAACTAGTTAGGCAGTTGGCAAATCTGCTGTAGTAGGGGCTTTGACATTGCCTCAGTTATCTCGGTTTCTGGGAAAAGATTTTGGAGGTGATGGGGATACAAAATAGTGTTGGAGTTTTGAAATTGTAATTGTTTTTGTTCTGTTTTTTTTATCAGGTGTTGCCTTAACACAGATCAAGGATGTACCTTTTTTATTTTAATGGATTTTCTTTTTACTTATCAAAAAAAGGGTTATACCTAATCTATGGCAAGAAGGAAGGATTGCATGAATAGACTTCCAAGGAGAGGCTTTTGTGGCCCTTGCCAAACCTCCAGCATCCTAAGCATCAGCCACAAGCCCATGAATACTCAGAATTACCTGTAGAGATGAAGACAGGGATACTAAATTGTTCTTTATATGTTTTTATATGCAAATATATGCTCCCCATCTTTATTTGTAATTGTTTCAGGCTGCTGTTCTTGTTTTTCTCTCTGTCACAGTCGACAGGGGTATTTTTGTCATTGTATCATCTTTTTATTAAGTCCTATAAAAGCCAATGAGGGGGCAGCAGAACCAATTTTTCATTTTTCTCTCTCTTTATCTCATTCTTTCTTCTCTTCTCCTTCTGTTTTTCTTCTTTTCTTTTTCTTTTCTTGAACAGATTTCATACTAAACCTAGGACTGCTGCAGCATTTTTCTAGTTGGTACCAGAGAAGGTTTAGGTTTAGGTCTCATGTATGCTTATCCCAGCTGGCTGCATGAGACTATTAGAGCTGGAGTTTCAGACCTTTTTCACCTAATTCTTGGAGGTCAGTGGAATTTGGTGCACTGTTATAGCACCTTTTCTGTTTTTCTGTTTTGCCCAGCGACCAGGAAGAATCAGAGATACTTGTTTGATTTAGATTTCGAGGTTGTAAACCTCAGGTTGAAGGTGGTGCCCAGTATTTTCTGGGTAGTTTTTTTCATTTGTTTAGAGATCGACTGCAAGTGGAGGACATTCAAAAGTCTCTAGAAGTTGTGGCTGGAACTTTCTTGTGTTCTCTTCTGATTTCTAGGGTTTTTCCCTTGTTGGAACAATCAGTTTTTGAGTTGCAGTCGATTGATTACAGCTTGACTGCTGATTTAAAAAAAAAAAAAAAAAATCCTTCATTTTATCAGAAAAGAATCGAGAAGTGCAATATCTTGTTCAGTCCAGCATGGAGAATGTTAGAAATGAGTTTAAATCAATCGGGGAAGGACTTGTAGGGGCTGGTGGTGTGACAGACAGCAACCCTTTCCAGATTAAGACCATTAAGTTTGATGGAGCAAGCTATCTTGAGTGGGCTCAATCTGCAATGACGGTCATTGGAGGAAGGGATAAGTTAGGGTATGTAAATGGTGACACTAAGATGCCAGCCAAGGAAGACCCTTCCTAATGCCAAGTGGGCTGAAGAAAATTACCTAGTTATGACTTGGCTTTGCAACTCAATGCAGCCTTATATCAGTAGAAACTATCTTTGGGCAAAGATTACTAAAGACATCTGGGATAATATGAAGGAAACTTACTCTCAGCCCTTTGATGTAGCAAGGGCCTATGAGCTGAAAACTGAGGTGGCAAATCTGAAATAGGGGGAGAAACCTGTGTCGATTTACTTCTCAACTTTGAAGTCTCTATGGCATGAAATTGGGGGAGAAACCTGTGTCGATTTACTTCTCAACTTCTTCAAATAATCTCCAATTTGTTTCCTCCCATAGTACCCATAGCACTGCTGCCCTTGTGCATCTCCACATCATTCTCCCTCTTCGCTTTGGCCATCTAAAAAGTGATGTAAGGAAATTGATGTAGGACTTCCAAGCTTAATTCCAATAGGACAAGGGAAGCAAACAGCTTGGCAAAACTCTATCCAAAAAAGGGATAAATAGGGTACAATTGTTCGTTTGTTTTTTTTTTTTTTTTTTTTTTTTGGGGGGGGGGGGTGCTTTTAAGGTTACCCAAAGGAAAAGATTTAGGGATAACCTCTCTTTGCACTTTAGACACACTTAGAGGATACTTCATCTAGCTAATTCATGCACTGTGAACAATGTAGAATTTAAAATAATTTTCTCAATATTACCCAGAGAAACCTAGCAGAGGTCCTTTACACTTCAGACCTCAACCAAGAGGCCCTCCTCTACCACTCCTAGGAGGAAAGTTATCCCTACTGATGGTAGCTCCAGGGAAAATCTAGGGCCACCAAGAATGGAGGAGTTTTTAGTGATTCAAGAGGCTCCCCTATCTGGTTTTATAGTGGTCCCATAGGTGATGTAGATGCACTCAAAGCAGAAGTACCAGCCTTATTGACCAGGTCTAGCATGGCTAAAAGGACACAATCTCATTTACTCAATTGTATGTGAGGGTTCAGCCAATTCCAATAAAGCCTGTGGAGATTAGCTCACTATCTCAGTAAGATAAAGAGAAAACCTGAGCTTTTTCCAACTTCCTTGAGGTAGATTCCAAATGAACTCAATCATTTAAAGCATGATTAGCTAGGAGAGAGAGGAAAGGATACAGCCTCTGGTACAGGATCCAAAGAGTCAAATTTGGAATTTCCAAAAATTGTCTTTTTTGTAATTTGAGATAGCAGGGGTATTTTGGTCAATCTACATGCATATGGGATCCACACTAATAGTGTTGGGACTTATTGGCAAAAAAACTACAGATCTATCCCTTTTTTTGAAGAGTAAAAATAAAAAGAGGGATGAAAGGTCTAGAATAGGAACACATCAATGCACAATCACTCAATCAGACAGTATGCATTTCTTCTTGAGCCTAGGAGCTCTGCACTTATATCTTCCTTACACACTTTCAAATTATATATAAAAGGAAGTTTATTAAAAAAAAAAATTCTGGTTACAACCAGAAACAAGGTGTTAAAGCAACACCTTAAGGCATAAACACAATTACTCACAAAATACACTCAGAATTGCAATTTTGCAACTCAAGAATTTCCAAAAATCTCTCCCCAAAATCCAGGCATAATTATACCTTTCATGAATGGCATGGTTAAATGCTTTTGCAAGCCACCTTCCAGTTTCTTTGATGGTGTAGAATTAAGTTTTCCTCTTGATTGCACCTAGTAAGAACAAACTATAAGAACACAAACCCAAAAGAACAAAATACCTTGAAAGTTAAGATCCACTTGAGAACATATACCTGTGCCTCAGGATTCATTCCAAGAGCAAGCAAAGCCCCCAGAGCTTCAGCAAAGGCATCCCTGACAGAGGAGACAGGATCTTCAAGAGCCTAGTGAAACAAGGCATTAATTAAGACAAGAGAAACCAATGTGTAAAAGATAGACCTCTCATTTTAATAAAATTAAACAGAATTAAATCAACACAAACAAACAAAAAAAGAGGGGTCAGAGGAAAAGAAATGTAGATGAAGATTTGCCTTGACACAATAAGAGGCTGAATTGTCAAGCTCTGCAGTTGACAGACCAGGTCCCCCTATGTTGGCAAATGTCTTCAGACATCTAGCAGCTGCAATTCTAACAAGAAATGACTTATCCCCAACACCTATCCTCGTGATGAGACGATAAGCCTCAGAATATGCTGCAGAAGCAGCATTACCACCTGAACCTTCCAATGCACTCTGGAGCATTTGTAGAGCTTCTTGTCTCACAAAGTCCTGAAATTGCAAATATATGCATGCAAAACTTTAAAAAAGAATAAGAAGAAAGAAGAAAAAATAGTAAGATGAGAATGAATAACCATCTGGTATCAAAAGATATCAACTTTGGACTACAAAACCATTAAGTAAATTATTAACTAAAAATGAAGTATACCACTTACAACTTTCATTAGGAACAAAAACGACACCAATTTTGAAGGAAAAGAGAAAACAAGAATTCCAACAGAAGAACCATACACTCTTCAGTACATCAACTCCACAACAATCAAAATAAAATGTTGTTAACAGTGAAGGTTTTAAAGAATAAAAGTTCAAATAGGAGTATGAGAAAAATTCCATACATCATGGTAAAAAATAGAAGGTTCATCAGATCAATAAAAAGCTTTTCTATTGACCAAGCATTTTGGTTTTTGGTGAAAATAAAATAACTTAAGAGCCATAACTGATAGACCAAGAAAATATAATTTATGGAAGGAGAAAAACAAAAATACTTTTTGAATACATAATCCAAGTGACTTTTTTTTTTTGATAAATAACATCAATTCCATTAAAATAATGAATAGATACAAGAAGATCCCCTTAGAGGCGCGAGGAGCAGCCTCTCCAAACAGCAAATAGACAAACTACAACAGAGAAAACATGAATGTTTAAATTAAAACAATAGTTACAATTGTGCCCAGAACAATGTTTCCCTATTTATCCCTTGTTTTGCCAAGACATCAGCAAAAGCATTAGCTGATCTCCCAACCCATTGTA